GGCGTAACATTTCCGTCACACGCTTGAGGTATTCAGCCAATCACAACGCACTGGATAGCTGGCCAATCAGAGCACACCTCACTTTTCAGACCGATGAGCTTTGTAAAAATCGGCGCGTTTCAGAAAAGCGGGGCATAGAGGAGAAACAATAATATACAGTATGTGGAAAATAATGTGTTTTTTTAACCTTAATAAACATAATTTCATTACACCAAATACACAAAATAATGTTCTTTTTAGCAACGTCATATGACCCCTTTAAAGAACTTTGGCAAACAACAATCTGAATTTCATCTTAAATACAAAGTGTTACAAGGACACAGCTTAGAGATTAAGATTCCAGTTTCTTAGCACAGCAGTTGTACACATAAAGTGGCTGGAAGGAGAGACACACCTTTTCTTCTTTATTCAACTCAGACAGTGATTGTTATTCTGCTCGGCTCGGTACAGTCCGCGGGTTAGTGGCAACATGTTTCCCATTTTCATTTCTGCATACTCTAAATATTGAGAAGTTTCCTTTTTGAACTCTGAGAAATGTTGTGTCTACACCATCTAACGGCTGAGAATAACAGAACTTGACCCAACAGCTTTGCAAATCAGTCAGTACAGCAGAAGCTAGAGGTGGGAAACCTCTAAAGTGGCCTCTCTCAAAGATCCTCATGAGAATTGAAAGTCTGTCTGTTCAGCAACCATACATAGTAACCACCTAGTGACCATGTAGAATGATAGAATGACTGAGACAGAACAACAGAATGACAGACAGAACAATAGAAATGCAGATAGAACGATGCAGCGACAGACAGAATGACAGAACAGTAGAACAAAAGAACGCTACGGCGATCAATAGAATGCTAGAACGATAGATAGGATAGCTAGAACAATGGACGGACGGACAGACGGATGGATGGATGGATAAATGAGCCTGGTGATCTGGAGTGTGACATCAGATGTGTCTAATGCACACGCATCATGTATCTGAAAAATGAACGTCTGTCAGTCTTTGGTTCCCTTGGAAATGAAAGGCTTTATTTATGGAGCCAGATCAGTCTCAAAAATAATACATTTACAAAATAAAATTCATAAATGCACAGCACAATTCACATTTACAAAATCCAATTCATAAATTCAAAACACAATTCATAAATACACAAGTAAAAGCATAAATATTTCCCCAAATGCTCACACAAATGCATCTTACCTAAATAAATTTAAAATGTTTCCACAAATATGTATATATCAAGTTCTTGAATTAATTTCCATCACGCATTTATGAATGATGTTAGATGTATTTATGAATCGTTGAATCTGCATTTGCAAATCGTCACACGTGCGCGGACTGCTTTGAATTTGTGTGCGGTATTTTTGAGACCTTCCTGGCAGGTTAAGATTCATAAATATCTTTTTTTGGAGGATGTTCCGTTCAGCCAATCGCGGTGAGCTTTTAATCCACCAATCAAAACACTCTTTACTGAACAGACTCAAGAAGCTCAACGCTGCGCTTGTACTGTGCATTGTTCCATGAGGTCTTTATCATTCAAGACATTTTAATAGGTACTCTATTTTTACCACCTGTTTACAATTTCTACAATATCACATTATGATTTATATCGTTCGCACGAAATACAGCTACCCGGTTAGCCTGCTGTTTTATACACCAAAGTTGCAGCTGTTTATTCAGATCAGTAATGTTATTAAGTGTTAACTTAAATGTCCAGATATTTAATTTAAAAATTACAATGATGTGATGTGTTGTGTTCTGTTGTTGTTGTTAGTAGTAGTATCAGGTTAGCAGTAACTTTTGATCAGGCATTACAAACAGCTACCACCACCGAAGGGAGATTTCGAACACTCAGCGGAGAGATTGCAGCATGGAGGATGAAAACCAGACTCAATGAGTAAGTAAAGTCATTTTCTTATGATTAAAGGTTGTTTTAGTTAATGAAGTGAGCAGTTTGCTGTATTACAAAGTTGTTAATCCAAGCCAACTTTCTTATACTATAACTGGTGTTTGTAGGAATCACATGATGAATGGGCGATAAACAATCAATAAAACAACGATTTCGATTATAAACTATCGAGTAATTTTAAATACGTTTTGTAGTCAGTGGGTTCTAAAGTTACCATCGAGACCAGCTAGGGATGCTACGGATTATCTGCTTTTATGTTTTAAAAGTACCGATGCACCAGTTATTTCATTAAAAATGCAATCTTTACATCTTTTTTCAAATGTAGGTTCTATCTCTATTTGGACATAATTTCTTTCAGCTTTGAGTGGTTTATGTTGCAAAAGCGATAGGCAGAGTGATGACGATCTGTTCTACCTGCTTGTCATTCTGCAGTGTATTAGAACATTAATTTGTTAATTTGCACATTCATCTGATATGTTAAACATATTTTTAGGAGTTGCTGAAGCGTTACATTCTCCAGCGACTTCAAGACCGTGTGCAACATGTCCTGGAGAGACAGCCTCTGGACACAGATTATCAGCAGTTTGTTTGCAGGCAGGAGCTTGTAATAATCAGCGCCCTGGCTAATATAATAAACATTTCTGATTATGTTATATCAGCGCTTACACATCTAAATATTGCCATACAGCGCCAGATGGATAGTGAAGAGGTGTGTGTTACAGTGGATGTGGAAAGAGGTGGTGGACGTGGACGTCCAAGATTGACAATTTCAACAAATACTCTTATCCACCTTATTGAACTTGGTCTCCCTTTAAAATGTGTAGCCAATATATTGGGAGTGTCTCGAGCAACATTGTGTAGAAGGATGGCTGACAACAATTTGTCAGTTACAGCACTGTACAGCACTTCTACCGATGAAGAGCTAGATGTTCTCGTGACAGAAGTGAAGAATTATTTGCCAGATGCTGGATACAGAATGGTCCGAGGGGCTCTCCTTGCAAAAGGGCACCGTCTTCAGTGGGACAGAGTCGTTGCATCTATGCATCGTGTGGACAGTGTTGGTGTCCTGTCAAGAATGACCAACCTAAGGTGCATGGCTCGAAGAACATATAGAGTTCCTTGTCCCAAGTATATGGTCCATGTTGACATCAACCACAAACTCATCAGGTAATTCTGAGTGGAATGTCACAATTGTAGTTAGTATATATGAGAAATGATTGCCAAGTAATACCAGAGTGTAGTTAGTAAAACATCTTTCATATTCAGCTGCAACATTCACACTTTTGCTATTTGTAACTCTGCCTGTGAACCATGCTAAAGTCTTTTTTTTGTTTTGTTTACTGTTTTCTATATAAAATTTTCCTACATAATGTAAAGAATATTCTGTGAAAATATAACCTTGATATTTGGTGATAATAGTGAAACTATTGACTGAAATCAAACATTGATACTCTATCTCATATTTATATTATGAGACTTAACCTGGATTTCATCTACTGGGTCACATTTACACCGACTCAACATTCTGGGAGAGACTATTAACTGCATTTTCAACAAAAAAACTATCAACTGTAGCAATTTATTTGTAGTCATTTTTATTGTTTCAAATGGAGTTTTGTTTATACCTGTAACCTAGGTACAACATTGTAATTTTTGGAGGAATAGATGGTTATTCAAGAAAGGTATGAATTTGCTTACATTTCTTGACTGCAGTGTGCACAATTTACTTGTCCTAAAAATGATTTATTTTATCAATTTACATTTACATCCTATTATGTTTTATTGTACAGATAATGTACCTTAAAGGTAGCGAACAATAATCACCCTGACACCCATTTGGCCATCTTCAGCGAGGCTGTAAATGAACATGGCTTTCCACAGAGGTAAGTGTTTTAAATAGAAACCTAGAAATCAGCAAATCCTTTGTCACACGGTTATGTTATGTAAGATTTGACCTCCTAGTTCATAATCAATTGTGGTTGAGTAATGCTTCAATGTTTAATACTTCGTTTTTTAGAGTGAGAGGTGATCATGGAGGGGAAAATGTTGGAGTGGCCCAGCTAATGTTTTCAGTTCGTGGAACTGACTATAATAGCTTCATTGCTGGTAAAAGCGTACATAATCAGAGGTAATTTGAATTATGTGTTGCTCTTTGTTGTTAACAATTGTGTTTTTGTTTGAACCTCATTGTTATGATGGCAGCAGATCTAAAATGTCTAAAATGTAAAAGAACAAAATTATAAATAACAGAATTTAGACAAATATTATTAAAACGTACAATAGCTTTTCACATTTGTTTATTCTTTTATCATTGTAACATACATCGTTATAATATATATATATATATATATATATATAGACAGTCTGTCTACATGCTAT